TTATTATATATTTCGTTAACCTTAAGTCTTGCAACCCAAAAGATTATTCTGTGAGAGAACTGATCATTACCGTGTGCCTTCTGTTTAAATAGTCAACTTTTTTTTACGACACATTGTATCCCCCAGAGTAAGATAACCAATACGTAAAAGTAACGTACCTTTTATATTGTAATTTAAAATCGTGTGCACATAACTGTTTCTAATGAGTTTTATTTAAAAACAAGAATTACGTATAATCTATGGTATAACAAACTTTGTAAGGTATTCTCTGTTAATTGAATGATTTAATGCGTATAATGTTTTTTTTTATCTTAAATGTTACGAATATAATTTTTATTGTGTTGAGTATCTATGTGTGGACAGACCTTCGTGTCAACATCGTAGTACTGATAAAGTAAATTATTTTCAACGCGAAGCATTGTCAAATTACATTCACTGATATACATATTTTATCCTTATATTATGGAAATTTGTATAGTATTTATACAAATAAAAATAATTATAAATTTGATATAACTTTGTTATTTTATGCGTAGAATTACATTCTGTACGATGTAAACAATTAATTTAATTAAATTAATTGGGAATACATGCAAAAAGTAACGTCCTAATGTTTCGTTGCTCCGCGGGTAATATTTAGTTTTTATGTTTAAACTATTAACGTTTTTAATTGAATATTGGCGGGAACTTAAAAATTGTACGTATCTTATTTACATTCTTATGTAATACATTGCGTCATCTTGAAACATTTTAAATATATTGTCAGTAACAATAACTGAATTAAATAAAATTTGTTTGTCTATGCGGTTATACTAACCTCGATTATTTCAGCTACAATGAAAATTTAAACGGAATTTGAATTACTGAAATAAATGTAATAACACGATTGGGAGTACTCTGTAAATTGGTTTACTTAATTTTGTATCTGAGTAGTTATAATAACATTTGGAATACATTGATTAATAATGAATGAATGACGACAAATAGTAAACGGAAGATTAACCAGCGCAAGCGATTAAGTCGTGTCAGAAAAACCGGTTGGAATCATTCACATAATTTGTTGTGGAAAATAAGTTATACAAATTAGTGTAAACGTCGCAAGGAGAATTCAACTGTTAGAAGGCATTTAAAAATATACTTTGTTCATCGTGTTATGAATTATTAAAACAATTATTTACTATTCTTTATGTTTCTTCTGCTTTTCTTCTTTAAGGAGGCTCTACAGTTACGCTGTCGCTATTGTCGCTTGATTCACGTAGTAGTAGATCTGGCATAGTATTTAGAATATTACAATTGTTCACAATTTTATATTAAAATAAAACAAATTATGTTAAACATTGATTTTTAGTCGTTATTATATCTATTATATTTATATTGTTTCATAAAGTAATATAAAACGCATTTTCCCATAAGAGCTCACGTTAAAAAGTGAAAAATTGAAACATTTATTTCTTAGGTTTTAGGTACCCTAGCCTTCCCAAAATTTGTGTGGGTGCTTTTGGGATAAAATCTAACCCGTATACAAATTTTTATAACTTTCTTGGCGTTATTTCTATTTGCACTAGAGCCTCCTTAAGGAGTGAATAAAATCAAATTTATACTTGATATTCAAAAACAAAGAAATGTTTCATGATTAGACGGCGGATGTTTATGCATATTCATATTTTTATATATCTACATGAAGAATAGGAACGTAAATTAAAGTATGTTTTATCTTCTAAATCCTGTAACATATATTTCATTTTTTATGTTTTATCCTTGTATATTTATATGTATATTATACTCCTTTGTATATTTTCGTATATTTGCATTTTTCATAATATAAAAACATAAATATCTGCAGTCTGTTCAAGATAATTTTTTCCTATCGTGTTCTACAATATTTCCACAGTGTAAATAGTTATTTTAATTTTCTCTTTAATTAGTCAATTTTTAATAACGTTAATAGTTTCCTTCGTTTCTTTTTGCCATTTTCACTTTTCAAAAAGTTTAATAAATCTTGTCAAGACTGTTATCACTTCAAACATATTTCCAAGAACAGTCATTCAAATCAATACTAAAACTAAAAATCAAATAAATTGGAACAAACCACGATTTCTTTTGTACCATGAAACGTCACAGATCGTTGCCCCTTAATTATAAAATTAAAAATGGAATCGTTAGCCGCTACATTAAAATAATTATTAACCACTCTAAAGAGTTGCTTTTGATCGCGTTCATTGTCCCCGCTATGCAGGATTATTGTTGTGTGTCGGCAGTGCTGTCTTAACACCATTACCAGCCCCGGGGGAAATTAGATTATTTATTTATTTATTTAACCAACTGTATTAGCATAAACGTTTGCGTAATGTGTTTGGAAAAATGTGCGTTATGATTTCCTTAAAACCCACGTTCTTCGTGATCTATACACACGAGCGAATGACAATTGAAGCGTTGCTGTCCCATTGTGCTGTAAAAATGAAAACGATGTTTCATTGTGATAATCTTAATAATAATAGTAAATATTCGCAGCTTACAGGTAAATTTATTTCGTTTAGATATCGCGGACTCCAGACAAACGAAATTTAAGGGGCGTCATCTAGTGATTTGAAAATATATTTGTACAAGATAGTTAATACTTTTTACCGACTGGTAGCCGCTACATTAAAATAATTATTAACCACTCTAAAGAGTTGCTTTTGATCGCGTTCATTGTCCTATTCATCGTCTTTTTATCATGGCAGGCAATTTTTTGTTACCTATTATTGAGGCATCATTGCATGCTCGCATCATTATATAAATTCTTGTATTATTGTATATAAATTATACTATAATTATACTATAATATAATTATTACTATAATATAAAATATTGTTAAATTCAATTATATGTCCAAACGCTACCAGTCGGTAGAGTGTTAATCAAAACATTTGTTTACAGTCAACAAGATTGTTAAGATTATTTTGTTCAATTTAAATGAATTTTAGTTTCAAAAATAAAAACTAACACGTTGATAGACAGACTAAAACTCAAGAAAATTTCCACTGATCAAAAATTTTCTCTCAAGACTATCGAAGATTAGATGACGTAACATTTGTCGTAGTATTTAATTTTTTAACCTCGTCAAATTCACAAATCCTAACCAGATTTATTTCATTACCACTTCACCTACAGAATTTATTCTTTTAGTTCCTTAAGGGGTTAGTCGCTGTCAGGAAAATGAAAACGGACACTTTCTTGTGTGTTTTTTTTAAGGTATTAAATAATAATCTTTACTAATGAAATGTAAATATATTACAAAGTATGTCCTCAAGAACCATAAAAGAATTTTTGTTTTAGAAAAAGGTTAATTCATTTCGTCATAACAGGCGATGGCGTGGGGGGTCACGTGGTTTGCGGTGAGTAGGATTTCATCAAATTGGTGTAACTTTGTTTCCAGTACTTGGAAACAAAAATAAAGGTAGATTTAGAAAATATATTAGACTAACGGGTCCCTGCTCGATGGATTTTGTATTTTTTTATATACTTTTCTTTTTATTCTCTATTTAATCATTTAATTTTATAATGAAAATTGAACTTCAACTTCAAATGTACAGTGGGTGTAGAAAATATTCGTACACCGATCAATTTCCGAAAAAACTATGTAAAATTGTAATTTATTAACTTATTTTTTATAAACAATGATATTCTACATATCCTTGGAAATCTCTAGAATAGATAGATTACAAAAAAAAAATAGCTATTATGTAAGTTGCGAAATTAACGAGAAAAAAACAATTAATCGATAGAAATATTGAAGTAAAGCAATAAGTACTCGCACAACTGTTTAATTTTTAAAACTTCATTAGAAAAAAGAAATTTACATTAATTTATAAGTACATAATACTTTCTTCGTGGGATTTCCTTTTGATTTTATAATTATTGCAACTCTTCTAAGCGTTAAATTAACTGAATTATTAGTTATTCGAAGTGGGATCTTTTTCCATTGCTCTATTAGAGCCTTTTTTTAAAGTACTTTACTGGAAATTTGAGGTTTTCTAATTCGTACCGAGCAATAAACAAATGTGTTTACTTTACAAACTCTACTGTAAATGGTATACTTTTAATTCTATACTTATTAGTACTTAGTACTATAAGTACTTAGTAAATAGTAGTATTAGTACTTATTGGTACTTAGTAATTCCATACTTTTACCCACTTTTCGTATTTTTTTGTTAATTTCACAAATTACATTAACTAGTAAATGTTGTTTGGACTATATCTATCTTAAAGATTTCCGAGAATATGTAGAATATCATTGATTATAAGAAAAGCAGTTAATAAACTACAATTTCATTCAAAAGTTTTTTGGAAAATTGATGGATGTACGAATACATTCTACATCCACTGTATCTTAGAGATTTCTGAGAATATGTAAAATAAAAAAGGAAGTTAAGAAATTGCAATTTCACACAAAAGTTTTTTGGGAAATTGATCGGTGTACGAATACATTCTATACCCACTGTACGTCAATTTGTTTTAAATTAATTTTTTCCAAAATCCTTCGATCAGGGACCCGTTAGTCTAATATATTCTCCAAATCTACTTTTATGTTTGTTTTCAGGTATGCCAGTTTGGAGAAATCTTGCTCACCACAAACAAAATGGCCACCCACACCTGTCGCCTGTTATGACGAAATGAATTAACCTTTTTTTAAAACAAAAATTTCTTTACAATTTTTTAAGATACATTTTGTCATATATTAAAATTTCATTAATAAAAATTATTATTTAATACCTTAAAAACACACACACATACACATACACAAGAAAGTGTCCGTTTTCATTTTTCTGACTGCGACTAACCCCTTAATTCTGGTAACGTGTCGACCAATGTTAACAATGAAAAGCATCTCTAGCTGAGAATTACTCATTTGGCCAATTCTGGTTTGCAGAGCCCTTAGAGAAATACCTAGGGTGCCCATACGTTGAGACGGCACTGCGTGGAGGAAGCGCGCTCGTCCGCGTAGTTCGTGGACTGAAAGAAGCGGCGCAAACGAAACTCGAATTTCCCGCAGAAATTTTATCGAGCACCCTATAGGTAGAACGTTGCGCAGCAGTCAGGCATCGGCGCCGTCAGCGGCGGTGGCCTGTGTAGTTTTTGCTACGCCCTCTCTTCGCATGAAAATGATTCTTCCCCGGCGTGGTGTAGTAGTAGGGATCGTCGACCATTGGTTATCGAACGTTTTGACTGACAGCTCGGCTGTCTCGTGTCAGGCCAGCGATGAAAGGGAGAAAGAAAAACAGCTTCTGCTTCCCCATTAACGCCTACCGACGATCCTGTGCACCTCTCTAACTCGCGTCTACCTTTTTTCGTCGGGTTTGTTGCCCGATCACGACGCCGGTTTTAATACGCCGATGACTGACAGGTAGTAAACAACTCCAGCTCGCCCACGGGATACCATCTTTGTCATAATTAACTCTTTCGGTGCCAGACCGGTATCTGTGCGCGTTAAACTGTGCTCCTTGCCGGGTGTTGTTTTCACTGGGTGATATCTTCGTACAAACGCTGTAATAAATACATATATAGGAACGGACTGCGGATGTTTATGGAAATTAACATGGTTGTAGATACAGAAGAATAATTGAAAATTACATGAACTCTATGTAATATTATATTCTAGACGGTAAAATGTGTGTATTACTGTTAGTATTTTATATATTTTTCATGGGCAAAATAATATCTATATAAAAATTCTAATTGAATTAGATAATAAAAAAAGGTCTTTATTATTATTATTATTATTATTTTTTTTTTTTTTTTTTTTTTTGTCCATATTCTTGCGGATTTCCCTGTATTTTCATTTGCTATAAATGCATAAACATCCACAGCGTATATATAAATGTATTGCTTAAATGTATGAGATGCAAAAATTAACCAGTTTTTAACAATTAACAAACCAGTTTTTGGTTTGAGGTAATACGAAATAATAGTAAATTGAAATATTGCACAACAAACGTATGCAAATATTTAACCACCGACACGTGCTTATTGAGGTTTAAGTACTTTCTTACGTTCAAATACGTACCCTAACTGTTAGCTACTGCTTTGGCACTTAAAGAGTTAAATATTTGGTTTTTTTTTTTTCTTTACACGCTCATAAAAACATGTTTCATTGCTTCTCTTCCATTACCTCTCTCATATATCTGTAGGTGTGAATCAATATGCTCGATACATGCTTCTGGAATCATTTGGGCTCCTTACAAATCTCTGAATTTTTCAATTTACCATTGGCATTTTTAATGTTATAAATGTATCTATTTTTTTACTCCATCAAATCTGTAAAATTTCAAAATACTGCTCTAATTCTTTATTAAATTAATGTTTGGTTTTTATAACTCTACATTAATTTTGATCGATATAAATAATTTTCTCGTCAAGTAATAAAGACTAAAAATGAAAGATTCCGTTTAGCAAATTAACACGTCACCTACCCATCTGCTTAAGTTATTAGTTTTTACTCTTTGATTGCTGCTAATAGCACGTTTCAGTGTCGTAGTAATTATTCGCTCGTTACAAAGAATCGACATATTAAACGCCTGATGCAGTACATCGGAAAATGCACGAACACCATCATACTGTTACCGCTAATATGTTTCATTAGTATTAATAACCGACTTGTTTTCGGTTATGCGACACGTGGCTCAACGTTGTAAATTTGATTTTATTCGTTTCCTTTACCATCGATAAATCGAACGTCTATTTCGCTATTCGCTTTAATACATTTACATTTATTTTATTAAATTTTACTTTATTAAATTGTTTGATGTAAAAATGAACTTTTATTTCCAATTCTTTCATTTTTCTATACAATATTTACATATATTTCATTATTAACATTTTAATTATTATTATTGTTATTAAAATTATTTTGTAGCAACATCTCTTTTCTAATGTAAATATTCGTATACAGTTCGTCGAGATGATGCTATATTTAAAAATGTTTACAAAAAGTTCTGCTTATATTTCTAATAAATTACAGTTTCAATAAGGAACATTATGGACAAGTGCACAATTAATTAGCGTTGAATATGATTCGTTAAATTTATTCAAAAAGAATAAAAATACATGGAAGATATCCTAGCCACGTCGTAAACTAAACATTCGAAACAAAATGTGCGTAATGTAGCTAAAATAATAGTCACTAAAATAGTTCTGTGGATTACGATATTTCGATGGACATTATGGATCGGTGGAAGTATGTATTCTTCTAACGTCGCTTCTCTCGTCGGCTCGTTAGAGCATATGCCTCGCTTTCGTGTCCGGTAACAGGTGCGTTCAAATACCATCGAGCACCCAAGAATTCGAAAGCGATATAACGTCTCGTTTGACGGGGTAAAATAAAGAAAAGAGACGTCGTTCACTTCTGCGTTTCAGAACGTATGCATAACGAGAAACAAGAATTTCCTTGTCATTTAGCAAAGCCTCCTATTACATATCAATACAGAGATTCGTGAGTGTAAACTAACAAGAACCAACGTTTTTCATTCTCAACTCAAACCAAGATCCATTCAAGTAGATAAAGATAAACACCTTATCACTCATTCCGTGCAGGAATACATCTTATAACTTTTGCACCTTTAAAGTTGTAAATTTAAATATTTGTATTTACAGTGGGTGTAGAATGTATACGTACACAGATCAATTTCCCAAAAAACTTTTGTGTGAAATTGTAGTTTCTTAACTTCTTTTTCTATAATCAATGATATTTTACATATTCTCGGAAGTCTCTAAGATAGA